CTTCTTCTCATCTCGAAATCATTCCGAACTGACGGTAGATTTGACATGTCATAAGAGTCTGTAATAGACCTACATGAATAAAGATATTTTGAATTTTGAATTTGAATACATTCAAATTGAAAAGCTGTTAATTTGTAACTACAAACAGACATTTCAACGTATTTATTTGTATAGATGCATACCTACATGATCTAACAATGGTAATTCTCGAATTATTAATATAACTATGAACGAGGTACACTGGTACAGTTTACAATCATTGTCTAAAGTTCGACATGACTAGTCAGAATTACTAATTGTGGATTCTTTGTCATTATTTATAGGAATGTTCATTTGACTATTGAGTTGTAATAAAATATTGAGAAATCTATCAATATTATATTTTTCTGTTTCCTGCTTTGCGCCATTTTCTTGTAAAAGAAATGAGACCAATACAAAGGTACAGATAGCTCTCCTGAGGAGATGTAGGTATGTAAGAGAAGTAAGATATCTTAGAAGTACCGTACCAGACGTAAGTATCTATTTATTTAGAAGTTTATATAGAGATATAAATTTCTAGATAGTGAAATCCCTATGTAAAAATGAATTCTTCTAGATTTTATAATATACTACAGCTGTTACTCACGACTTCGAGTGGACATTTTTTTTATTAAAACCAATTAAAACTTATACATATAATTAGTAAAAATCACGGGATCTTACCACGTTTTATATTTATTTGCTGAGTCCAATAAAACTTCTTATATAAAAGTAGCCTAAGTACTAAGTCTTTGTAATATTCGCCATCTGCGAGTGAAAGTCCCGCCAAAATCGGTCCAGCCCTTTTAGAGATTAGCCAGAACAGACAGTTTTTTTTTTATGTAAGTACCGTATACTTTCATATGCATTAATTGAAAAGCTGTTAAATTCAAATTACAAACAGACACCCCAATGTTATTTATTAGTATAGATGGCGTGTAATCACTAGGATCTCATCTTCATTACATAGTATAAAACAAAGTCGCTGTCGCTGTCTGTCCCTAAGTATGCTTAAATCTTTAAAACGCAACGGATTTTGAAGCGGTTTTTTTTAATAGATAGAGTGATTCTAGAGGAAGGTTTATATGTATAATACATGTACACCCGTGCGAAGCCGAAACGAGTAGTTAGTATTATATATCTTATCTTGTCAACAAACATCAGATAATGTTTTCAAGAATTTACAGTAAATAATTATTCGTTTTATTACTTCAGTTAAGTACGTATCCCTTACTGAGTTCTAACCGTATTCACATAGTACCTACGCTTACATCGTGGTGTTCTTATGTCTTAAAGAATCATCATAACATAAATTTTAAAACAAGGCCACATAAGCAACTTTTTCTCAATAAATTAATGAACCGACGACGACACGAACGAAATCGCAGATAAAAACAAATGGCCAGGCCCCTCGTACCCACTGGGCACGCGCCCAGGGCTCCTCGATGGATTTTTTTTTCATGGCTGATAATGGAATGGTGCACCAGTGGAGGATGATAAGATGAGCATGAGGTCATGTTAGTTAGCCCATTGTGATAAATCCACCAAGAATTTATCACGGTGGTTTTCAGAGGGAACCGCGTGGAGGTCAACCTGACATGGGACAATAGGTTTAAGAGTCCACATTACTAACAATCTAACAAAACGTGATAAATACCTGGTGAATTACGATGGGCTAACTGACCTGACCTCATGCTCATCTTATCATCCTCCACTGGTGCCAGCGTAAACCGTTAGCGCAGGCGGGTGCACAATTCCATTATCATCCATAAAAAAAAAGAAATTATTAATTAACAAAATATATTTAATATAATACACAATAATATAGATAAGTTACATCAACATGACGACAGACAAGATGACACACACTCTCTTTTCAAAACATACAAATATACTTCGTCTGCCATACCAACCAGTCTAGTCATCGAGTGCTAACCTCGTTCCCAGTCAGTGTGTGTTACACTGACTGGGCCCAGGGAACCGCGATGGATTGGGGCTCTCTAGTCTAGTCCAGTCTCTACTTCATCACCAAACGATAACCGCTGGCTACTCTACTCTCGCCTGAAAATCAGTCTCAACAAATGCTTACCGACTATGGTTAATTTGTTCGTTTTTGTTAATTTTTATAAATGTCTAGCAACAACTCCAACCCCTCATCACATGACAACTTTTTAAAATTATTTTTACCTGGTTTTGAAGGTAGAGCATCCTAAACATATCTAAAAACTTATGTACAAAAATGACTGTCTATTCTAACAAAATAGTGCTTTATTACTATGGACATAGGGACCCTATTAATCTAATGTGCCCAGGGCCTCTATTAGATGAAAGACGGCCCTGCTAGTGGCGTATAGAGTAACGAGCTTAAGAATGCCGGGTATCAGGTAGTGGGACCCCTAGCGATCAGTGAGTTGTACCCTTGCACGCATCAATTACCGTTATTGACACCAAATAGTTGGACTTTATACGACTCGATCTCTGCATTGCATTAATACGTTTACTTAATGTATTCAATTTACATCACATGCTTTATTACGTACAAGCTTTCGAACGTCAAGTGCCGCACGACGAAAGCTTGTGCTGATAACAAAGCTTCATTATGTTATTATAAACGCTAAAGTTTGTAAGTAAGGATGTTTCTTTCACGCAAAAACTACTCGTTTAGTAGTATTTAGTATATAATATAGATTTTGATGATACGTTACTGTAATCTATATATATATATAACTCAAAGGTGACTGACATAATGATCTAACAACGCTCAGCCCAAACCACTGGACGGATCGGGCTGAAATTTGGCATGCAGGTAGATGTTATGACGTAGGCATCCACTAAGAAAGGATTTTGATTAATTCTACCCCCAAGGGGAGAAAATACGGGATGAAAGTTTATATGAAACTTTGTCAATTTTAAACCGATCGGGCTGAGACTTTGTATGCATAAAGCTACTATGACGTAGGCATCTCCTAAGAAAGGATTTTGATAAATTCCACCCCTAAGGGGATAAATTAACGCGAGCGAAGCCGCGGGCAAAAGCTAGTATAATATATAGATCCTTCTCCTTCAGTTTAACATATACGAGTATGCTATTTTTTTTTAATTTAACGCGAGTGTCTCTGCGTGCTCAGGTAGTAGGCTATTTAATAAGATATGTAAATTGAGCAAAATAAAATTATAAATGTTAACTACTCATAAGTGTGATGCAGGCGAAGTTATATTTTATTATATTTTGAACTTCTTGTTCGTATGTAAGTTATTACATAAAAGAATGATTAGTTTGGCATATTTTTAAATTACTTTTCTTATCAGTTTTAGTAATAATTCTAATAATAAACACAGTGGGTCGTTTGTTTTGAGTATTTATCACTTGCGTGAATGAGGATAATAAACGACTAAATTTTTAATACATCTAAATAACATTATTATTTAATAATATAATGCAATAACTTTATTACTGTCCAAGTTAACGGCTTAAGTCAATCGGAAAATATATTAATTAGTCAACAAACATTATAATAATACTGATAATTTTGTTTAAAAAATATTGATGCAGAAACGTTGATGTTCATATAGCGGCTAAAATATCCTACACTAGTTGTACCCGCGACTTCGTCCGCGTGGAATTTAACTTTATTTTTCTAAAATAAAAGTGGCTCAAGTTACTCCTTATTACATCAGCTACCTGCCAATAAAAGTTCTGTCAAAATCGGTCCAGCCATTTCAGAGATTAGCCGGAACAAACAAACAGACAGACAAAAATTGTAAAAAATGTCATTTTGGTGTATGTACCGTATTTATATTCATATGCCTGTATAGATGAATAAATGTAATTTTATTGATTCATAAAAAAGCTTCTAAATATACTTAGTATGTGCTTACCAGACGCTTTTAAAACTTTAATTACCTATTACCTGTTTAATGGAGTACTTGCCTAATACTACTGACGTAAATATATTTATATATAAATCTTTATTTAATTAACTATTGTGAGAAAATAATTACAAATTTTATTATGAAATGTTTATCTATACATGTATACAGATAAATAAAATTGCAATCTCTGTTTGTGATATTGAAATAACCGTTTTTTACTACATGCATATGTATGAATATAAATACGGTACACACACCAAAAATAACATTTTTAACAAATTATGTTTACTGTCTATTTGTTCCGGCTAATCTCTGAAATGACTGGACGGATTTTGACGGAACTTTTATTGGCAGGTAGCTGATGTAATAAGGAGTAACTTAGGCTACTTTTATTTTAGAAAAATAAAGTTAAATTCCAGTCGCGGGTACAGTTAGTTCTACAATAAAGTTATAGATGTATTAATTGGTAAGTATTTAACCATCTACCAACACGAGGTAACTCAACAGGAGCCGTGTAACAGGTAGAATACAGTGGTTTAGCTTTTTTTTTAAATTTTATTTGTTTCACTGACATTATTTCTTATTAACATATTGACTTCAGCTGCGATTTGATACAGTAGAACTTTTCGTAGGGCTAGTTGTGTTTCACTAGGTGTTTATTATGTTTTTATTATATTATATTATTTTATTTATTTATATAAATGACACACATACACATATTTACATTATTTATATTTGAAATAGTTTATATATATATATATTATTTTTATATCTTTATATATTTTATGTATTTACGCATTTATAGACTTATGTTTTATATCACACACACACACACACACACACTGGCTAAATTGTATAAAATATTAAATAAGTTTATGTCTGCATGTAAATTAATTAAAACTGTTATCCTTGTTTTGGGAAGGAACTGACTCCTGATATACAGTTCACGCTAGTTTGGGAGTCAGGACTACATCAAACTGTACACTGATGAAAGTTTAAATAAATATATATTTTTTAAGTGCATCTTAAGAAGCCCGAGTTTCCGGCTCCGTAATGATACTGGTCAACTTGTACCGTGGTGTAGTTAAGTTGAATGTAAACAAACCTACCGCGAAGGCAATGTTGATAAAGATGAATATCTTCTCGGAGGTGCAGACACTCCTGGCACACCCCATGTCGCGCCGGTCCCTGCCGCGAGTCCCGCGAGCTGCCTCGGACTCCGCCGATGTCACATGGAGGGACACAACGCCTCCGCACGAGTCACGAGCTAGTTCCGAGCTTATAAATGCACGCCAGTCATTACGAGAATGCGCCGCGGATCGTATAAACGACCTGTACACAAGACGGCGGGTAAGGCACTGACTGGACTGAGTAGTCCGGGCTGAGATAGGCCGGTCGGAGGGAGCGGGTGCATGCGCCCCGAGCTCCCCCTTCGCCCCCGCTGACGCCCCTGTGGGGTCGCAACTCGCGTGGCTCGCTCCGAACATCCCAAATTTCCGACCCCTAGCAGCTGTCATGCGTGTTGCACTCGTTTCAACTAAACAATACAAACATTTAACTATCAATTATTTATAGATAATATCAAGGTAGTTTAATTGTTTATTATTTAATTCTGATTTTTTTATAAAACTTCGTACGTTTTTATTATTACTTTATTTTATAATGTACTTACCCAAACTTTACAAATACCTTTATTAATATTAACTAATATATAAAATTCTCGTATCATATTATCTATACGTATAAATAAAATTGGAGTCTCTGTTTGTAATATTGAAATAACCGTTTTTTATTACATGCATATGAATATAAATACGGTACATGCACCAAAGTAATATTTTTACAATTTTTGTCTGTCTGTTTGTTCCGGCTAATCTCTGAACAGGCTGGACCGATTTTAACGGGACATTTTTGGCAGGTAGCTGATGTAATGAGTAACTTAGGCTACTTTTATTTTAGAAAAATAAAGTTAAATTCTAAATTCTGAACAGCTAGTTATTAATAAAGTAAACAGTATTTTTTTACATATACATATATAGCAGTGAAATGGCTCCACTCAGTATTGTGATATGTTCAGTGAACGTTCTATTGACGACCTATAGTAACTACCTAAAGTAAATAATAAGGAGTAACTTTTATTTTATAAAAATAAAGATAAATTCCAGCGGCCGCAGTCTCGGGAACAGCTAGTTTTTAATATTTCTATAGTTTTGTAACATCATTGGACTAGTTACTAAGACGTATCAACTCGGGTAGCTGCTTGTGTCATCTCAGAACCAGTTGACGGTGGACTGATATGTATTTGGGTGGTATTTGTTATTGGGTCGCGAGGTCGGGCTCTCTCTAATGACTCCATATAGAAGAGACAATTGTGGTCCGGCCCGTGCCCCGACTACTTGTACCAATTAGGAACCCTTTAAGAACTAATAAACCACAATTACCGTCACCATACGCAGTTCAAACACGTTGTCAACAAGTAGGTACACTAAAATAATAATCTCAGGACAATTCACACAGCTCCATCTAGACCCCAGTTAAGCTAGCTAAAGCTTGTGTTACGGGTACTAGATAACTGATAAATACATAGATATTTTTTTTCGTAAATACATACATATTATACATAGAAAACACCCAGACCGATACAAACAATCATACTCATGAATACAAATGTTTGCGCCGTGCGAGGAATCGAACCCGCGACCGTCGTAAGTAAGGCGGTGTGCTAAACTGCTAGACCACCGAGGCCGTCAAATAAACTATATTTCATCCAATCCCATCTTCGAAATAACTCTATCAACGCAAAGCCCAAACCACTGGACGGATCGGGCTGAAATTTGGCATGCAGGTAGATGTTATGACGTAGGCATCATAGATTAATTCTACCCCCAAGGGGATACAATAGGTGATGAAAGTTTGTATAAAACTTTGTCAATTTTAAAACAATCGGGCTGAGCCTTTGCATGCTTAAAGGTTCTATGACGTAGGCATCCCCAAAGAAAGGATTTTTATAAATTTCACCCCTAAGGGGATAAAATAAGAGATGAAAATTTGTATAAATCTCGTTAGATTTTCGACTGATTGAACTGAAATAAAAGATTGGAGCTACTATGATGAAGACGTTCTCTTAAATAGGATTTTAATAAATTCAACCCCCATGGGGATAAAATAAGGGATGATGCAGGATGTAAAATGTATTAGTATGAACCTATCAGTACCTAATGGAACGAATAAATTAAGACGAACAAAATAATTTTTAGTTCTTTAGTCTACTTTTATTTTAGAAAAATAAAGTTAAATTCCACGCGGACGAATTCGCGAGAACAGCTAGTAAACAATATAGCCGATGCAAAAGACAACTTTAAGTACACACGTGTGTACCTACGGGCACTTGTGGTATATTAGCAGTTAACATGTGTTCAAAGTTTGAAGTTCAAAGTTCGAAAGCAAAGTCGCTTTGATCCACATTGGACAGACATTTGCACTTTACCGTGGCGCGGTACTGTATTTTAAGCGCATGTCAAAAGTAAAAAGAGAAATAATCTTTATTCAAATAAAGTCATACAAGCTCCTTTGAATTTGTTACACATTTGTAACGCAGACTCATCACAAGAAGGACGAGCAAGAATCTTGTGTGTTGCTCTTTTGAATACATATTATTTTATATAAATAATTATACAATAACAAGTAATAGACATGCGATAATCAATATAGAAATCGCTACGCACTCATTCTTTGTGCAATCTGATAATCCTGTCAGAGTTGCTACAAAAACATTATTATCATTTACAAGCTCCTCAATTTTATAATAAGCGTTTTTCACAGTGTTTTATACGACACTAGCTTTTGCTCGCGGCTTCGCTGGCGTCAATCCCTTAGGGGTGGAATTTAACAAAATCCTTTCTTAGGGGATGCCTACGTCATAGTAGCTTTATGCATGCAAAGTCTCAGCCCCATCGGTTTATAATTGACAAAGTTTCATACAAACTTTCATCCCCTATTTTATCCTCTTGGGGATAGAATTAATCAAAATCCTTTCTTAGCGGATGCCTACGTCATAACATCTACCTGCATGTCAAATTTCAGCCCGATCCGTCCAGTGGTTTGGGCTGTGCGTTGATAGATCACTATGTCAGTCACCTTTGAGTTATATATATATATATATATATATAGATTTGAATCTTTTTTCAGGCAGATTTAGAACAGATTCTAGTAAGCCTTACGCAATTACCATAAAACGAATCAGTAACTTTAGTTAAACGGCATTTAGGTAAAACATTCGAGTATCTAAAAGTGTGACATTCCAAATATGCCAATACAGCATGTACTTACGTATAAAATAAAAATCTATACACGTATACAAATAAATAAAGTGTCTGTTTGTAATTTCAAATTAACAGCTTTTCACTAAATAAATATAAAAGTATATTACGAGTCTGTTTGTTCTTGCTGATCTCTGAACCGGCTGGACCGATTTTAACGAGTTTTACTCGCAGATAGCTAATATTATGAGGAGTAACTTAGGCTACTTGTATTTCAAACATCACTACATAGTATAAAACAAAGTCGCTGTCGCTGTCTGCCCGTCTCTATGTATGCTTAAATCTTTAAAACCACGCAACTGATTTTGTAGCGGTTTAAATAGATAGAGTGATTCAAGAGGAAGGTTTATATATATAATACATGTACACTCGTACGAAGCCCTGGCGAGTAGCTAGTAGTACATATAAGATATGATTTAACTTATGGTAGATAAGTACCGTCACACCCACTAATACTAACACGTGGGGGGAAATGGGATTGTTAGTAATGTGGACTAATGAACCCATTACTAGCAATGTACCAGGTTGACCTCCACGCGGTCCCCCCTGGAAACCATCGTGTTAAATTCCTGGTGAATTTGTCACGATGTGCTAACTGACCTGACCTCATGCTCATATTATCACCCTCCACTGGTGCCCCGCCAGCGTAAACCGTTAGCGCAGGCGGATGCACCATTCCATTATCACATACAAAAAAAAAATACTAACACGTTTGTATTCGTTACAATTCCGCCTAAAATCTGGACAAACGCGTAATCAACCGGTTAAATGTAGGTGAATGTTCATATATTTAAAAAATGTGGTTTGTATGCATGTGTTCGATAATGAGATTCAAATTCATTCATATTATTCAAAAAAACATTCATTCATGTTGGACATTTTAGCCGCTTACGAACGTCAAATTTTTTATATTATTTTTTCCTACCGTCCAGTTCAGTATATAGATCCATTTGAGAAGAACTGGCAGAAAACTCAATTGAATTACTTTTTTTTTAAAAGCCAGTTTATATTAGTCTAACATTGAATGAAAATCCCGTGCATGAACAACTATTGCCATGCACTCTCGTCATTCAAGTAATCGTTTAGTGAGTAATAGGCCTTGCTCAGTAAATATGATTTAACAGATGTTTTGAATTTATTTAAGAGTAATTCCAACATATCCTTTGGTATCTTATTGTAAATTTTTATACCTATTCCCATAAATGACCTATTTACTTTTTCTAAACGATAATAATATAAAGAGGCAATTATCACCGTTGCTTCTCAATTTATATACTCAAATGTGTAGGTACACAAAAATCTTCACACATTTCCAAAAACAGCAATATTCATAAGATTAATAACAGATTTAAAGACAAACTTACTGTTCCTAAGTATAGTTTAGAACAGTCAATTAATATTTTTTTAATTCATGGATATAGCATAAGGCTAGGCGGGAGCCTAGCGTTACAGGTATAGGTTGCCCACTCATGCATACACGAAATATCTCCTTTGGAAAGTTTGCACTCTTTCCCGAAGATAAAAACCATCGCTCCTAAGAATATCCTTCAATTCTTGTCCCTGACGGGTCTAGGTAGCGAACTTTGAAAAAGGGCGAGCACAATAGATCTATGTAGGTCGTAGTGCTACAGGTGCTGCAAGCATCAGACAATAGCCCACGCAACCCAATAAAAAAAAATTAAAAAATAGGTATAGGTATACGTTGGCGGGGCACCAGTGAAGGATGTATAAAATGAAACAAAGCAGATCGCCCGTGTCTTAATCTTTTGTCACAGTTGTTAGAATTGTACCTACACGTAGTAGACAGTATCGGTGGTCTAGCGTCTAACTGTACTAATACAATGGACATGTATGAAAAGAAAAGTCCCAGAGGATGTAATTGTTTCGCCATTCAGACCAAATATATTCCTATTTTCGAAAAAAAAACTAATCGTGAACTATAGGTAACAAATATGCCTAAAGAACATGCAATAAAGACGAATAAATATTACTATCTAATAAACGAATTAATGAAAATTGCCAATTGGGTTAATTC